TGTATATTGCTTAGACCCCGGTGATTAGCACCGGTTGATCAGCAACAGCTGTGTTTCCACACAGTCCCGTTTTGTTATTGTTTTGTTTCCACTTTAGAAGTGAGATTTTCTTTCCTTTTGTATAGCGGGGCAACTCTCTTTTGGAGACCCCTTTTGTTGGATAGGGACAGCTTGACCCGTTGTTGGGCCAAGCTGTTTGTGTACATCATTTTACTTACTTGCAGTCATAAATAAACCCACCGGTAACCAATACCAGTTACAAACTGGTCGTGTCGTTTCACCTTTTTACCCCTAGCCAAGAGGGAACGTAACACTGGTTTTAACCAGTGTACACATTTCTGTGCTGTTTCTGTATGCGTTAGTATATTAAAGATAACATTTCAGAAAACGTGTACTGTAATAAAAACAAAGTCATGATGTGAGTGAAACATTTTTTTTTTTTTTAATTGTAATATTATTCACCATCCACCTCTTTAAAAATAATGACATTTCAAATGATAAGCTCCATCTTATAAACAGGGCAATAATAAAATAGACTTTATAAGCATATTTCATGCAATTTTGATATTTAAAAAAACCTTTATTTATCTCCCAGTCAGACGGGACGTTTGCAGTCAGTTAGTCTCACCTGTACAGGCAGTGCTGGAGTGTGTTCAAGGTGAAGAATGAGATCATAATCATTAGAAGCAGTCCAACCAGTCAGACCGCTCACACTGACACAGGCTGCAGCCATCAGACACTTAGATTAGCTTAGTTTAGCATGTATACTAGGAAAAGGGGGAAATAGTGAGTGAAAAAATACACATTTAAGTGTACTTAATATATCTCTGTACGAAAACTTAAATGTAAAAACTATTTGGCAACTTGTTTTGGTCCCAGTCAAGAAATAGCCCGACCCATAATCCCTTGTTAAACGTCTTATTGATGTTTTTACTCCTCTGATTTGGTATGGATTAAACAAACTGGATTCAGAGCTGCTGATAGGTGGATTTTGTAACCTTTGGACGGGCTGGCTTTGTCTTCCCCTGTTTCCAGTCTTTATGCTAAGCTAAGCTAACCAGTTGATGACCTTATTTCTAACAAACATATACAGCAATCTTAATATCTATGATCAGCTGATCCAAGAGGGTTTTAATAGTTTATAAAGCTTCAGAAGAACCAAATCTATCAGACACATGTAGTTAAGTAGAAATGGAAATAGTTAAGTACATTTTTTAAGCTACTTTCCCTAAATTGAGAACTAGTGAAAACTGTACTTCAGTTAGTACATTTAAAAAAACACAAAAAATAACATTCTTTGTTCCTTTTTTTTTAATCCATTGAGGCTTTGTTCAAACTTTACAAGCAGTGTGCAGAGAGGTGGACGCAATACAATTAACACAACACAACAGACAGCTGAGATGTAACATTTAAATGTCCCTCATTTGTTAAACCACTGCAGCCTAATGTTTAATGATCAGGTATTGTTGATTTTCAAAGTAACTGTTTATCATTTTTTTACCAATATACTATAATTAAAGCATGAATCCTGAATCGACCCCTTTAAAATATACCCATCATTTTTTCCTTTTAAAATGATTAAAAAACAAGTGCATTATTTCCACTAGTAATGTCTGCAAGTATGAAACACTTTTTGAAAACACAATTCTGAGACAATAAATACTTTTCTTGTCCCCCTGACATATAAAGAAGTGGTAAAAGTTTATTTCTGAGTAAATAGTTTTCTGATCACTTCAAGTCATGACGGCAGGAAGTGCAATCCGTAGAATAAACTAGACTACATTAGAACATACTCATCAGTATTGTATGTGTTGTTATGCGTCTCATCAAGGTGAACCATATGTGATCAGATTCTGAACCATTTACAATGTGTACAATGTACTTCCCCAGTTGAATATATGTATTACATTTAGTGAGAGTGAATCTTTCTGTAGTAAATCAAATGGTTGTTCTACTCAGTGTGATTGACAGGAGAGATGATCAGAGGGGCAGAGTTTTTACCACCATGATTAAGATAGGGACCAAAGTATGGGTAGAGTTTCTCTTTGAAGCAGCAGCCAGTGAAGGAGTAGATCAGAGCTGCAGCATCAACATCATAAAAGGAGACCAGACCCTCCTCATAATCCACAAACACCCCCACCTTCTCAGGCTGAGACTTCAGAGAGAGACAGACTGAAGGACCAGCACGAGCTGAGTACTGATTTCCATTCCTCAACACTATCGTCCAGTAACCTTTCTGAGGAGACAGTGTGATCTTCCCCTTCCTGTTGATCGACTCTCTGGCCACTCCTAGAGTCCAGTCAGTCTTCCCTTTAACCTGAACCTCGTAATAAAATCTTCCTGAAGAGAAACTCTGCTTTGCTAAGACACAAGCACAAGAATCAAATCTCTCTGGATTGTTTGGGAGATTTTTCCTCACATCACCATCTTTAACTTGTTTTCCATCAACAGACAGGATGAGGTCAGGACTTGCTGTATCAGGATCAAGAGTCACCTCCACCTCAGACTGCTGGACCCTCTTCAGCTCCACCTCAGAGAGCAGCTTCTTCATCTGTTTCCTGAGCGTCTTCTCCAGCTGAGTCACAGCTCTCCTCACAGTCCCCTCATATGAAGGTGGACAGACCCTGACTTCTGTCCAGTTCTTGGTGGGTGGAGCAGCGTTCAGGGACGTGAAGCTTTGGAGGAGGTGGAGCTGGTCTTCAGAGCGTGAGAGCTGCTCCACCTCAGAGCTTCTCTTCTTCAGCTCAGAGATTTCCTGTTCCAGCTCTTTGATGAAGCCTTCAGCCTGTTCCTCTGTCTCTCTCTGCTTCTCTTTGATGGTGTCGATGAGCTCGGCCTGGCTTCTCTCAACAGACTCCTTCAGAGCGGTGAAGACCTGAACACCATCTGCTATCTCTCTGTCTGCTCCTTCCTTACTGAGCTCCACTGAGCGATTCATCTCCTGGATCTTCAGTCGTCTCTTCTGGATCATCTGCTGAATTTCAGCCTCTGTCTTCCCCAGCTCAGCCTTTTTTCCTTCATATCCTTCTTTCAGAGGAACAACATCATGTGTCTTGTGCTCTGAATAGGTGCAGTGGATGCAGACACACACCTGGTCGGTCTGACAGAACAGCTCCAGCAGTTTATCGTGCTTCACACACATCCTGCTTTCCAGGTTCTCCTCAGGGTCGATCAGCTGATGTTTCTTCAGGCCTGCTCTTGTCAGGTGAGGCTCCAGGTGAGTCTCACAGTAGGACTCCAGACACACCAGGCAGGACTTCAGGGCCTTCAGTCTGGATCCAGTGCAGACGTCACAGGGAACTTCTCCTGGTTTGACAACTTGTTGCTCTGAGCTGCTGCTGCTGGCTTTCTGTTGAGCTGACTGTCTGAACTGAGCAGCCATCTCAGAGATGAAAGTGTTGACCAGCATTTCAGGCCTTGTGTGGAATAACTTTTTACAGTTAGGACACTGATAGGGGACTTTAGTATCCCAGTGTTCAGAGATGCAGGCTTTACAGAAGTTGTGTCCACATGGTGTGCTGACTGGATCAGTGAACACATCCAGACAGATGGAGCACAGAAACTGATCTTCAGTCAGCAGACAGCTGGCAGCAGACATGTCTCTCTGGGGACAAGGGTTTGAAAAAAACACAACTCTAATTACATATTCTCTATTTGCCAGTTCATAGAGTTCTACTATGAACCCGAAAATGTAAACTACCCCAACGTTTTATGTTAGAAATGACATACATAGACCAAAACAACCAACAACATTTACGTTTTTTGTCTGTAAGAATTACAATTTAAGTTCAAATGAAATCTGGAAAATCATATTAGCATTCGGTTTAAACTCTAAGAAACACAATGTGTACGCTCTAATACTGTTGGGGCATTTTGCCGTTGTTGAACAGAGAAGTGAAACCTCCTGCTGAGCATCACTGAAGTTAATACTAGTTGTTAAAAAACACTAAATGTTATCAGCTTCAAAAGGCAGACAGCAGTTACTACAGAAACAGGTTCAAAGCTCAAGGCTACTTACCTCAGTGTGTACAAATGATATAAGATGAAATATGTAATTGTCATGCCTTTTTATGAGCAACACTTGTAACATAACACCAGATCCCTTGCTTTGGACAGTCCAGAACAAATCTACTATTTAGATTCTACTTTGTTTAATAAAGTCAATTATAAAGATGTTTTCAAATACAGGAAATATCATAATAAGTATAAACTAATGCTAGCTTTGGCTGTATGCTCTCTAACCTAACGTAATCAGAGTTTACATTGCAGTTGTTTTGTGGCTGTTGCTAATGTAAATGTTGAGGTTTTTATCGTAACTGACACATTTATATTGTGTAATATTCTTTATATGGTCAAATGGATGTATTACAGTCAGAATCAGATTTTAATCCAACTTTGACTAAATGTTTAGTAAGTGATGTGTCTGTAGTGAACTCACCAGTGTTTGCAGAGTCCTGCTGTGTTGGAAAAAGCTGCTGGATTCAGTTGAGTGTTTCTTCAGAGAAACAGAGACTTGTCTCGGCTGCTGCTCTGCTGTCGCTCAGAAAAACAACAACTTTCATTTCTGGGAAATTGAAACTCTTCTCTTACAGTGTGGTTCAACCTCTCAGTGGCAGTTTGCCAAGAGGAAGTGGAGGAAGAACTGTTGAGGCTTTATTTAACTTTGTGACGATGCATTTTACAGCTGATCCAAGAGGCTTTTCAAATAGTGTATTGAGCATAAGTAGGAGTATGTTCTCAATACATAAAGAACATCTCTTTACACATCTGGAGATTCATAGCTATATTTCACAACACTGTGCTATGGTCCCTGTTTAAGAGCAGCTGGTGAAACACTTCCTCCTCCCTGAACAGACGGTTTGAAAATGGGTCACGTGATTGTTGACTCGCATACATTTGATATGTAGTTAAACAAATGTAAATTTATGTTGCAATATATCAAAATGTATCCTAAGAACTTAAATATAATAATAATAATGATGTGTTCCTGTCCTCCTTCAGTCTCTGCAGTGCTGCCGGCAGTCATGTTCAGGTAGAGAACGACCGGCTAAACGGCGGCCACCATGCGGAAACATCTGGAAAGGATCCGTTTCCGGGGCCAGAGACGGGATGAGTTCCCGGATCTGGCCGATTCTCCCAACACCTCCGACACAGAGAGCAACGAGGAGGTCGGGAGCAGACCTCGAGTCTCCGCCAGAGATTCAGAGGAGCTGAGGGAGGCGGAGGGGGAGCAGAGTGACGCTCAGGTACACAAACACACACAATATCAACCAGGAGTTTAGAAAGAAACATGTTTATCTGACCCTGGACTTTAAAGAGGACATCATGTGTATATCAGTATGTAGTGTCTCTACTTTAAAGAGTCCTCTCCTGCTGATGTTCAGGTGTATATCAGTATGTAGTGTCTCTACTTTAAAGAGTCATCTCCTGCTGATGTTCAGGTGTCTATCAGTATGTAGTGTCTGTACTTTAAAGAGTCCTCTCCTGCTGGTGTTCAGGTGTATATCAGTATGTAGTGTCTCTACTTTAAAGAGTCCTCTCCTGCTGATGTTCAGGTGTATATCAGTATGTAGTGTCTCTACTTTAAAGAGTCATCTCCTGCTGATGTTCAGGTGTATATCAGTATGTAGTGTCTCTACTTTAAAGAGTCCTCTCCTGCTGATGTTCAGCTGTATATCAGTATGTAGTGTCTCTCCATGCTTTAATGTTCATGAAGCTCTTTATTTTGCTGCAGCACCTCTTTTCACCCTCTGTCTGAAACCAGGCAGACTGGAAGTATATGGTAGCATACAATAAAAAGTAAAGGTGTCTTACAATGTTTCTTTTTGTGTCCTACGTATTCAGACACCAGGCTTCACTTACATAATCATGTCACTTATATACAAGTAGTTGAGTTGTATGATTATGTCCAGAGATACCACCTCTCAACTAACTCGTTGCTTTGTCATGTGTGTTTTATTTTTATTTGACTGTGTGTGTGTTTGTCTCTCAGGCTAGTCATGCAACTTGTTTGTACTATGAGTAATTCTTTAGGGCCTCTTACAGTTATTGAAATGAAATCAGGAGGAAAATAAACAACCAAAAAGACTACAAATGTGTAAAATCGATAAATGTAGTGCAATATTTACCTCTAAAATACAGTGGATTGGAAGAATATGGTAGCATTAAACAAAAAGTACAAGTCAAGGTGTCTTCAAATGTTTCTTTTTGTGACCTACTTATTTAGACGCGGTTTCACTTACTGTAGCTTATATACTGAAGTAGTTTAGTTTTATGATTAGATCCAGAGATACCACCTGTAAACTAACTCGTCTGCTTGTTATGTGTGTCTGTATTTAACTGTGTGTTTGTCTCTCAGGCTAGTCATGCATCGTTCTCTGCCGCTCTCCACGACGACTCCAGGACGGATCTCAACGAGGTCAAAGGTCACCTGGAAATCGCCTTGTTAGAGAAACACTTCTTAGGTGAGTAATCTGACCTGAACTGCACTCCACTGTGTGGGGTTTCTTTGTTTACTTATGTAAACAAAGAAACAACATATAACAATATATAATAATCTGTGTTTTTCTCTTTTAAACCGGATGTTATTTATATTTTTTTATATATTTATCTTATGGGGCTAATATTCTAGTGGGGCTAATATTTAGTCAGCCACCAATTGTGCAAGTTCTCCCACTTAAAAAGATGAGAGGCCTGTAATTTTCATCCTAGGTACACTTCAACTATGAGAGACAGAATGGGGGGAAAGAATCCAGGAAATCACATTGTAGGATTTTTAATGAATTAATTGGTAAATTCCTCGATAAAATAAGTATTTGGTCACCTACAAACAAACAAGATTTCTGGCTCTCACAGACCTGTAACTTCTTCTTTAAGAGCCTCCTCTGTCCTCCACTAGTTAACTGTATTAATGGCACCTGTTTGAACTCGTTATCAGTATAAAAGACACCTGTCCACAACCTCAAACAGTCACACTCCAAACTCCACCATACCTACTGTGAAACATGGGGGTGGAAACATCATGCTTTGGGGCTGTTTTCCTGCAAAGGGAGCAGGACGACTGATCCGTGTAAAGGAAAGAATGAATGGGGCCATGTATCGTGAGATTTTGAGTGACAACCTCCTTCCATCAGCAAGGGCATTGAAGATGAAACGTGGCTGGGTCTTTCAGCATGACAATGATCCCAAACACACCGCCCGGGCAACGAAGGAGTGGCTTCGTAAGAAGCATTTCAAGGTCCTGGAGTGGCCTAGCCAGTCTCCAGATCTCAATCTTTGGAGGGAGTTGAAAGTCCGTGTTGCCCAGCGACAGCACCAAAACATCACTGCTCTAGAGGAGATCTGCATGGAGGAATGGGCCAAAATACCAGCAACAGTGTGTGAAAACCTTGTGAGGACTTACAGAAAACGTTTGACCTCTGTCATTGCCAACAAAGGGTATATAACAAAGTATTGAGATGAACTTTTGTTATTGACCAAATACTTATTTTCCACAATAATTTGCAAATAAATTCTTTAAAAATCAGACAAATGTGATTTTCTGGATTTTCTTTTTTCTCATTCTGTCTCTCATAGTTGAGGTTTACCTAGGATGAAAATTACAGGCCTCTCATCTTTTTAAGTGGGAGAACTTGCACAATTTGTGGCTAACTAAATACTTTTTTGCCCCACTGTATATATATTTCTTGAACTCAGTTTTATTTAGACATTTTCCTCTGAAACATATTGTTATTTTCTTTTTTTTGTATTTATTTTTATTTTTATTGAATAACTATCGTGATAGTAGTATTATAATCACCACTATTTTTGTTATTTATCTTGAATTTATTTGTTTCTCTCTTCTCAAATTAACCACCATTAATAAATAATGTCGCTACCTGCAACATTTCAATAAAGACAATATAAACAAAAACACTTAAATACACAGAATGTTTTAGCCAGGTTAAAGCTGATTATTGGATCTTGAGTCAAGGTTATTTTATTGGTTTAATTTAGCATAAAATAAGTTAAAGTAAAGTGTCCCTTTTTAAATCTGTGGCTGGGAGAGTTGTGTGTTAATTGGCTGTCGACTCATTCTGGCCTTTAGCATCACTTCAGGGTTAAATGCCCTACAGCACAGATGCATGCTGGGTAATCTGTCAATATCTGTTCGTCAGCTTTACATAACACACACTGCTAATAAGCCTGCTTAACCTCGTCACACACACACACACACACACACACACACACACACACACACACACACACACACACACACACACACACACACACCACACACACACACACACACACACACACACACACACACACACACACACACACACACACACACACAAATAAAGAGTTACAAGTATATGTTGATGATAATACTTTTCTACTTTTACTTGAGTAACATTTTAAATGTAGGACTTTCACTGTAACAGAGTATTCATACACTCTGGTACTTCCTCTGTACTTTTACTCAAGTACAAGATCGGAGTACTTCCACCACTTCTGTTTGATGTTTGATTTAGTTTTGGGTAACATGAACGTGTCGTGTCTCATCCTCGTCTGTTTTCAGAGGAGGAGCTGAAGAAACTGAGAGAGGAGTCCAACGTGGATTCACTGCGGCACGAGCTGGAGAGAGAGCGCAGCCGCTGCAGCGAGCTGGAGCAGAAGATCAACGACGTGCTGAAACCCAGGTGCTTATTAAAGGTCACCTATTATGCAAAATCCACTTCTTCATGTCTTTCATACATCAACATGTGTCCCCTCTTCTCCATGTCTCTTCTACATCAACATGTGTCCCCTCTTCTTCATGTCTCTTCTACATCAACATGTGTCCCCTCTTCTTCATGTCTCTTCTACATCAACATGTGTCCCCTCTTCTTCATGTCTTTCATACATCAACATGTGTCCCCTCTTCTTCATGTCTCTTCTACATCAACATGTGTCCCCTCTTCTTCATGTCTTTCATACATCAACATGTGTCCCCTCTTCTTCATGTCTCTTCTACATCAACATGTGTCCCCTCTTCTTCATGTCTTTCATACATCAACATGTGTCCCCTCTTCTTCATGTCTCTTCTACATCAACATGTGTCCCCTCTTCTTCATGTCTTTCATACATCAACATGTGTCCCCTCTTCTTCATGTCTCTTCTACATCAACACGTGTCCCCTCTTCTTCATGTCTCTTCTACATCAACACGTGTCCCCTCTTCTTCATGTCTCTTCTACATCAACATGTGTCCCCTCTTCTTCATGTCTCTTCTACATCAACATGTGTCCCCTCTTCTTCATGTCTCTTCTACATCAACATGTGTCCCCACTTCTTCATGTCTCTTCTACATCAACATGTGTCCCCTCTTCTTCATGTCTCTTCGCCATCAACATGTGTCCCCTCTTCTCCATGTCTCTTCTACATCAACATGTGTCCCCTCTTCTTCATGTCTCTTCTACATCAACATGTGTCCCCTCTTCTTCATGTCTCTTCTACATCAACATGTGTCCCCTCTTCTTCATGTATCTTCGCCATCAACATGTGTCCCCTCTTCTTCATGTCTCTTCTACATCAACATGTGTCCCCTCTTCCTCATGTCTCTTCTACATCAACATGTGTCCCCTCTGTGTAAAGAGACTCTGAAAGTTTCAGGAACAAAGATTCTCTCTCTCTTTTTGATCCATTTCTATAAAAACCTGTCTGAAAATGAACTGATCAGATTTTGGCCACTTTGTGATGTCATAACGATGTTTTGTCTTGTGTAACCATTAGCAAATCACCAACCAAGGTAACCCCCCCCCTTATCACCTGAATCTCCTCTAGAGCACCATTGAGTTCTTTGTAACCAAACCTCTCTCAGAGGGGCGTGGGGAGGGGCTCCTTATTTTCATCTAAAGTAACAGACAGAGAATCAGCACTTTGGAAACAGGGCTGAAACAGAGGTGATTATGGGATGCTGCAATGATCTGTTTGGTGTTTCAGCCAATCAGAGACAGGCTCTGGATATATCTGAGACCTGTGATATATTGATGAAAAACAGTATGATAGAGGACCTTTAAATAAAAATAAACGTTTTTTAATGAGCTAATGCTAACCATCAGACAGAGCGGTTTGTTCCTGTAGTCTCATGGCTGAATCTGATCACCTGAATTATCGTTTCTGTTGCTTTACAGACTTGAAGACTCACCTTCACAAACGCCTAAAGCCCCGCTCCCTTCTACATCTGCAGCCAGCGGTACAGGTGAGTTTATCTTTTTCTTACATTACTCGTTATCGTTCAATATTTTTGAAATGTAGTTTCATCAGTCATAGGATGTTCGAGTGGTGCAGGGATGATGTATCTTTGTGGGCCAAAACGGAAGTAAGCATCGCAAGGGCTCCCTAAATAAAACAAAAAGCCAATGGGATTTTACCAATGGATTTCGGAAAATTGCACAAAATAATCTCTTGATCAAACTTTTATGATAATTACTTGTTTGGTTCAGCAGGATAATCTCCACATATTAACACCACTTTTATAACAATTGAAGTGTAAATGCAATCTCCAGAATGAAAAAGCTAATGTTAGGCTATAAAGAAGTCACATGACTTCACGTCACTACCGCTAAGCTAAAGGTGGCTAATGTTGGGCTATAAAGGAACTACAGCACGGTCACATGACTTCACGTCAACACCGCTAAGCTAAAGGTGGCTAATGTTGGGCTATAAATGAACTACAGCACGGTCACATGACTTCACGTCACCACCGCTAAGCTAAAGGAGGCTAATGTTGGGCTATAAAGGAACTACAGCACGGTCACATGACTTCACGTCAACACCGCTAAGCTAAAGGTGGCTAATGTTGGGCTATAAATGAACTACAGCACGGTCACATGACTTCACGTCACCACCGCTAAGCTAAAGGTGGCTAATGTTGGGCTATAAATGAACTACAGCACGGTCACATGACTTCACGTCACCACCGCTAAGCTAAAGGTGGCTAATGTTGGGCTATAAAGGAACTACAGCACGGTCACATGACTCATTTAGATACTTGTTAACAACCGCCATTTTTAAATTCAGCAGTGGGGTATTTACTGACGCATTTTATTTCGTAGGACAACACTTTTTAATCTCTTCAGCTTGTGTTAACCACAGACCTTATTTCAGGCTCACAACCAAACTATGGTAAAAAATGTTGACTTCAAGACGAGTGAACAGGAAGTTGTAAAATGCCAACTCATTTCCAGGTTTTAGGACTCATTTCTTCACCACTCTATACTAAGACCTACACATAAAACCACAGAACACGAATGTGAGTAACACACATGTAATTGTATGAATAAAATGTTCTTGTTCTTCTATAGATAAGTAATTATATTGTTTATAAAATCATAGTTTAGGTTTTATTCGTCCAGATTTTTCAGATATCTGTGACTGATATTTTCATACAAGGCAAAGTCTGGTATAAACCTCAGTGTATAAATGTGGTGAAATGTCAACAACCATGTAACCTCCATCTTTTCTTCTTCTCATCTTCAGACAAACAGAAGGACACTTGGTCCAGCAGCTTCCGGAAGTGTCTCTACGATAGATTTGGCGTTTACATCGAGGACTTCCGCTTCCAGCAGGAGGAGCAGACGGTGGAGACGGACGAGCCGCTGAGCGCCAAGAGGTGAGGAGGGGAAACACAGAAACCCTAAAAAAAATAGATGCGATTCATTTCATTGTTGAAGACAAGGGCTGTAAGAAATGTTTTATGTTTCAGAAAATGTATAAAGAAAGTGTTATTAGACAGTATGAAGTTGACTTTTGATCGTGTTCTGCTTTCATGTTTCAGTATTTGTAAGCAACTGTGACTGAAAGAATATTGCTTTTATTTTTTAATGCACTTTTTAAATATGTGTCCCCGGTGTGTCGGGGGAACTCACGCAGCGTCAGAAATAAAACCCTCTCTCTTTTCCTCCGTACCGTAACCAGCAAGAGAGAAAGCCTTTGAGCTCCATACTGTTTCAGAAATAATCCTTGATAATCCATGATATGGCGTTTCATCACGGCAGTATTTAGTTTAGACAGTAGCTGCCGGGTCCCGCATGAGCTCAGACCCCTCCTCTTTATTTCGAAAGCTCCTTTTTTTAGAATTTTTTTTTTTTATCAACTTTTTTTTTTTTTAAAGCTTTATATCCAACTCAGCACTTTTGAAACAGGAAGTGAAACAGAGGGATATGAGGCATGGCTAGAATGGGTGATCTGTTTGGTATTTTGAGCAAAACACTTCATAGACATGTTTTTTATGTATTTTTATATATCTGAGACCCAGTGGCGGCTGGTGGAAAAATATTTTGGGTGGGGCTGTTGATATAGTGAGTAAAAACATTTTTTTTGGGAGAAATGACCCCTTAAATTAGGACTTCTGGTGATGTAATGGCGCGTTTCCAGTGCAGCGCGGAGCTTGCTTTAATGCTGCGTTCAGACCGGACGTGATGCGAATATTCGCTTCGCTCTAAACGCTCCTATCGCATCGATCTAGTCGCTCGAGTTTCACCGCGGCTGCCAGCTGTGTTTACTCGCATCATTCAAACAAGAGGCGCTGGCTCGGGAGCTACAACTACAACAAAATGAATATATTTGACCGTGATTAAATTGTAATACACGTTTCTAAATGATGCCGACGTAACAACATACTGATACCGGTTAGTAAAAACCATGAATTAATGCTTTGACAAATCTGCAGACAGACGGCAGGCGAAAAACCTTTTAGAATGCTTGTTTTCTGAATGGAGCTTGGCTAAGCTAACGTTATATATGTTCCGACCGTCCACACTCACAACAACGGCCTATACAGACATAAATAAACCAGTGACTATATTCTCCATGACACAGACAGTCTGTGGTTTGTACTTGTTTAACTTTTGTCTAGTTTCTGAACAGATCGTATCTGTCCCCGGCTGTTTGAAGAGCAAGCATGGGAAACAAAAGACAGCATTTACCTGTTTGCATCCAGCTAGCCATGCCTTTCTGGTGTACCAGCTACGTGAGAAGCCTCGTTGATACGTTTTGTCTTTTTCACGAGCTTGCTGTGATGTATACAAATCGGGTTGGTCCGGTCCAAGGTCTTTAAGCAACAGTTTATCTCCCAAACTTCTCCTTTCGAAAGGATTGGAGATTAGCTCTTGCACGGAATTGGGCGGGGACCAAGGTCCGGCGACTCCACCTGCACACCATTGTCATCTAACTACTGCGTCACCTTGGTCACTCACGAGTCTAAAAAACAACTCACGTCAACGCACGTAAGCAACGTGGGCGCCAACGTGAGCGCCCTCGTGACCAAAATATTTGACGTCGCTGATTGGCTGAAATTATGTTTCGGCGGCACAGTTTACTATTGAGACTTTTGCAACGTGCTGGTTGCTGCTGTTTGTCTCGGGAGCTCTGCCCGGTAATGATAAACTAATGCCACGGGCAAGGCCAGGCAGGAAACATGTGACTTATCAGTAACTTTAGACATCGTAACACCATTTTAAACGAGATTTTATTGTAGATTATACATTTTACTGATACCAATTGTATGATATTTACCTTGTTCATTACAAATACAAATATAAAATATATATATTTTTTAAATATATATTTTTTAATTTTATATTTTTTTTAATATTTTTTTTTGTATGTGGGAAGAGGTGGGGCGGCGCCCCTATGGGCCGGCCGCCACTGCTGAGACCTATGCTATTGCCTACAAATAGCATGATAGGTGACCTTTAATATTAGATAGATGTAGGTCCTCTTAAGAGTATTTGAACTTATTCTGTACAGTATGCTTCATTTAATATTTATTATATTTTTTATAATATTTTATTTTAGTTTTTTCTTCGTCTTTTATAAAAAAAATTATTTTTTATTTTATTATATTTTTAACTCATGTCTGATGCCTGTTAACATGCCGCTGTGACGAACGAAAATCTTTTTTTCATAAGGTTTTATTTGTATTCTTTCTGTTATAAAAATAATAGATCTTTATTTTTGTTTTTTTAATTTAATTATATTGTTAACTCATGTCTGATGCCGCTGTGACGAACGAAAATCCCAATTTGTGATAAAAACAATGTGTTAAAGCTGAATATCTTTAAATAAATACATCCTAATCAAACATGTGGTTTCCGACACACAGGTTGACTGAAAACATGAGAAGACTCAGTGAGTATTAATACTTTCCTTCACCGTTCATCACAAACAATACAGAATACAAGAGCTATCAAGATACATCTGTGTTTCTCTGCGTCTGTGATTGGTCAGTTTCTGTTTTTTTCAGAGCGAGGGTTGAAACCATTGTCCAACTTCAAGAGGAACCTGACGGCGCTGTCCAGCTGGTACTCCGTCTACACCTCGGCCATCGCCTTTATTGTGAGTTCAGCCCGAAGGTTACTGATGATGATAATAATAAAAAAATGATTTGTGGAGCGCTTTTTAAAGGTCCCATGTCATGGCCATTTCTACTGATCATAATTCCATTGTTGAGGTCTACTAGAATACATTCACATTGTTCAATGTTCCAAAATCACAGCGGCGTGCGTTGAAAGCTTCACCATTCACTTTGGATTCACTGCATGGGAAGCGACGCGGAGCTTTGCTGGCGTAAGGCGGGGCCTCTCATATGACGCACACCTGCACACTTGCTAGCCTGTTCCATTCTTCGTTCTCCGAATGCCAGGAAGGATTCTTGCCTAGCCTCTGATGGACCTGACTCGGAGGACAAGGAAGCGTCCTCGACATTGAGAAACACCCTGTTAATCAGGTTTACATCAATCTTCTCGTATAGGCAATTTAAGTAACATGCAGGTGAATCAGATGAATAATAGATCGGGGGGGGTTCATTACATTTATGCATCTTAACTCCAGTCAACTAATCTATCAGAATATTCTGAAACTATTTTTGAAAAAGTATTTACCGTAAATGTTATTTTTCAGAAATGGCAGAAAATGCTGTTTTCAGCTTTCCAAAATCTAGAGATTTTCTGCTTTTATGTTTTATATCATATTAAACTGAATATATTTGGTATTTGTACTTAAAAACAGGACATTTTAACACATCGCCTGTGAGGAACTGGTAGGATATTGGCACTGTTATCTGGGTTTTATGATAACAATCAATTGAACAATATAATTGTTAGTTACAGCTATTTCTCAGACGCTCCATTAATGAGCTGTTGCTCTGACTCGTTTAGGGTACTTAGACCCCGGTTACGTAACTTTATGACTGTATGTTCTTTAAAACTACTCAATGGGAAATAGAAGGGGGTTAACTATGTGTTTAAGAGTGTAACATGGAGTAAAGTACTTCAGTCAGGTAGAGGAAACGTCACTAATTAAAATGTTTTAATAGATGTTTTTTATTCCATTCTTGACAGATAGGTAACTTTTCATCCACTCAAAGCCTCACTGTGTTTTAAAAATGAACCAATGATTCTGAGCAGCTTGAATTCAAAATCTTTGACAAACAGATATATTTAGACAGTGTGAAATGATCTCATATCTACCTGTGTGTTCCCATGATGCACTGCTCTCAGAGGCTGGAGGATCCAGTGGAGCATCGTACCTGAAGTCTCCGAGCCCGTGGTGAGAAATCTCTCTGTGATTTATCTTCAACATGAAAAGAAATATCCATTTAAAATCTGAAAGTGTCCTGACAGGCTACCTGCACAGGTGAACAGGAAGTTAGTGTGACAGACTAACAGCTCCACCTGGTGGCTATGGGACGTCATTTAATGTCATGTCATGTTAAATAGTGGAATGACTTTTAATGGTCATGAAAAGTAGGTTTTTAATTGACGAATAATTCATTTGTATTCAAATTTGGTATTAAAAACGGTTGTGCCTTTTTAATATCAAAAATTCCATGTAACATATTCCAGTTTTGAGGTAGTTTAGAGTATTTGACATACATTTCTGTCCTATAAATTCAAATGACCTGTGTTACTTATTTTTCAGATTTCTGTTGTTGAAAAGTATTCAAATGAACTCATATTTATTAAAATAATACCAGATTTGCATTAAAAAACATAACATTTGAATGTAACTTGCATTGTTATTAAGTACATTTACTAAATTTTAAGGAACTTTCATGTACTCTACCTACGTTTAGACCTGACTTTTTTAGATGTCTGTTCTCGAAATGTATGCATAATAACACATATATGATAAGGTTATGCCTGGTTTCAATACAAAAACATGTTATTGTGGAAGTTCTCATACAAACACACAGTGTATTTCTTAATGTGAGTAATTAGCTGGGGAAGTTGCGTTGTCATGGTCACTAGTTGTGTAGATGATTGTGTCAGTTTGTATCTCCTTATTGTCTCCTCTGGTTTCCAGGAGCCTCCCAAAGAAGACCTGACGGTGTCGGAGAAGTTCACGCTGGTTCTGGACGTGGCTCAGAAAGCTCAGGTGAGACGAGACGGAGAGTTCAGCGGAGCTACGTCAGCTCAGACAGATTCACTACAAACAAACTACTGAAGACCAATCTTTTTACTTTACCTTTGTTTCTACTTGAGATGTTTGTTGTGTTCTTATGTGTGTTTCTTTCGGGACTCCACGTGGTCTGTGTTTTGTTTTATGTTGACCTTGACATTTCTGCCTCATGTTGTTATTGTATTCATGTTTCTGTGGTCTTAGTTTTAAACGTTTGTTCTTTCTTGTGAAGCACTTTGTGATGTTATTGCTGTGAAAGCTGCTCCACTAAATAAACTTCTTATTATTATTATTAAAAGATGTTCCTTTTGTGTCTCAGAACCTCTTTGGCAGGATGGCGAACAGACTGGAGAAAATCAAGAAGTGAGTCACACACTTTGCTCCACGTCAGAGAGGAATGATGGTCCGTGGACAGACATGTAATACTGTGTGTGTGTGTGTGTGTGTGTGTGTGTGTGTGTGTGTGTGTGTGTGTGTGTGTGTGTGTGTGTGTGTGTGTGTGTGTGTGTGTGTGTGTGTGTGTGTGTGTGTGTGTGTGTGTGTGTGTGTGTGTGTGTGTGTGTGTGTGTGTGTGTAGTTTGTTCATTTGGGTTCAGCCTGAGTTGACTCAGAAGCTGTACGTTGGTCTGTGGCTGGCCTTCATCTCCTCCTGCCTGCTGCCGTTCAAACTGCTGGGATTCTTCATAGGTATGACACACACGCACATACGCACGCACACATACACACGCACACACACTACACACTTATACATTTAATTAAGCAGTAGGCCTACTAAAATGGTTTACTTAAGTGAAAGTACTAATACTACATTGTATAATTACTCTGTTACAAGTCCTGCATATAAAAGTTTACTTACTAAAAGTACAAAAGTATTAAGTAAGTAGAACTAACCATTTCACATTCAATTAACTGCTGAATTCCTGCTAAATAACGCATATTTGCATCAATAGAGGATTTAACATGACATTTTTCTTCACCTGAATTCAGTGCATTTTAGTTTTGTCCTCCTACACTTTTGTATCTAAGACCCAATTCCAAACCACATCCTACCCCTACACACTACCCCTCCGTTTGCGCATTCGCCACATTAAGGGCTGTTCCAAAGCAACGAGTGTGGAGCGGTGTGGAGGGGGAGTGGGCTATCAAGCCCTCAAACAGCGAGTCTGCAGCGGTGCTGACTTGAGACCGGTCTCTACCTGACCGGTCTCAACGCTGTGTGTGTCCGTCAGGAAACAAGCTGTTAACAAGTAGTTCCAGCAAACATCCACTGATAAACTGCGATGTTAACAACCTCATGATAGCCTCATATGTTTTAACTTAGGATCAAACCTGTGTTTAGTCTAGAAACAGGTAAATGTGTGCATTTTATTATAAAGTTGTATATTTACAGACTGTTGCAAAAACTAAGAAGCTTATAAACATCAGCTTTAAAACTAAAAGAACACAATTAAAGATGTTTGGAGTTTTATTTGAGTTATTTATTTTATCTTTGTCAAAGATATGCTGATTTGAAACCGTTGTTACATACAGTTATGGCATTTCCTGTTTCTGCCGAAGAGAGGGGAGGCCGTCCCAAAGCTTGCCGCTGTATTTACTCCCTCTATCTGACAGGAGGGAGACTCGTTGAGCTGCGAGTGTCACTCAGTCACGGAGGGGGAGTGTGTAGGGGTAGGGGGTAGGGCGTGGTTTGGGATTTGGCCTTACTCTTCTTCTCTCTGCTGCGTAGTTTCCTTATTCCAAGCGCCCCCTGGTGGTCATTACTTTAGGAAGCACCTAATTTGATAAGCAGCCGATCAGTGTTTAAATGTCGATATCGCAGTTGATGAGGTTTTTGGTAGGAAGCATAAACTGTGATTGTAATTATTATTTGAGTAATTGTGCATTTAATACATTTCTGTGCATTGTATTAAGTTGAACAACAGATTGAACTAGAGAATGCAATTCCAGAAGAAATTGCTAGTGGGAATGCTTTATGCTGAAAAGCTGACGCTAAACTGCTATGCTGAAATGTAATGTGGAAGAAGAAAGTGAAGAATTTAGATTGAAATGATACATGAACACTGGGGGCTTGAATGTGTGATGAGAGAAGAAAATAAAGTAAAAAAAGCTTGGAAAAGCAGCAGAATATTTGAACTGCAAACTTCTGAACTAACTTGATGGCGAATGATCTGTCGCCATGGCAACGGCATTTGATGACACCCCATAATACGCTTAGATGCGTTGATGGCTGCATCCTTACCAAACCTGTGAAGTTTTGGGGCGTTTGGAGCAGTTTCACTGAAGTTATGAGAACCGTGTTTCCAGGCGAGCATTTTGTTGCCATGGTAACGGCAATTGAAGAAATCTCAAAACGGTCCCGTAGATGTCTTCAAGGCTGGACTGTTAGCACACTTGAGCACTTTTTGAACATTTGCATAGGAGTTATAGCGACATCATGTTTTATGGCGAGGGATGCGTTTCCATGGAAACGGCATATGGTGAGATCTCAGATTTGGCGTAGAGCTGTTGAGGCATGGACCGGTGATATACAAGTGAAGATTGGGGGACGATTGGACCGTGTCCATTGGACTTACAGCCACATCATGTTTCATGGAGAGTGGTCTGTCGCCATGGCAACGGCATTTGATGACACCCCATAATACGCTTAGATGCGTTGATGCCTGCATCGTTACCAAACCTGTGAATTTTGGGGCGTTTGGAGCAGTTTCACTGAAGTTATGAGAAAACCGTGTTTCATGGCGAGCATTGTGTTGCCATGGCAAAGGCATTTGAAGAAATCTCAAACTGTCCCGTAGATGTTTTCACGGCTGGACTGCTAGCACACTGCTATCTAAAGTCTGCTGCTCTGAGCACGTCAGCATCGTGTTCCATTACACAGGTGTTTATATTTGAGCTAACGAGGTGTGCAGAGATCAAAGGTTTCCATTGTTCTGAATGAGAGATGAACCTCTTACATGTGAACGTTTTGTGGAAGAACCGTAACAGATATCTTTGAAATTTCAAAATGTGTAGCATGTCAAGGAAGTTGAGTATCTGAAGTGTAATTTTTGTGTACTTTCAGGTTAATAATGTGGCCTTTTTGGCAGTTTAACTAAAGGTGTGCGGCTGCTGCTGTGAGGAAATATCTGCCTGAAATTACAATGGGCTTCAATGGACGAATTTTGAACGTTTTTGTCACTTCATGCCCTCAAGAGGCATTTTGTTTAATTATTTTTGCTTAATTATTTGTCATTTTTCAAGCTACGAGATGTTTTCCTACGTTTATCATGATAAATTATGTCTCAGGAATGTAGGGTTTGGGAATTATGGCAGTTTTAAAAAATATATATGAAGGCACATTTCAAGATTTTCTACCCTCTAGCTGTGACATCACGCACTCTAGTTAATGTTAAAATCTGAAGAAAACCTCTAAAACAAGGTCTGAACAATGTTTAATATCTCTAAAAGTAAGAATGAGATTTAAAAGTTGTTTTGCACGAATAATGTCAGAAAGATGTGTAACATTTAAAGTTGGAATGAGGTTTCTGAGTGAAAGTATGAATGAACAGTTAGCAGTTGAAGTCACATGAAGATTTGTTGAAGTCTGAAGATTTCCTCCATTGACTTCAATGTTAAAAATGTGATGTATTATGGGATGTATCTCTGGAATTATGAAAGTTATGAATGAGAAAAGTAATAGCCATCGACTCCCGACCGAGCTGAACGTTTTGATGTTTGAACGGAGTTTCTGCGATGTTCAATACGGGAGTAGAAGAGGGCCAAAATACCGGCGGAATAATAATAATAAACTTTTCGTGCGTAGCATAACAGTTAGTGGGAATGCTGTTAACACCATTCCCACTAAATTAGATATTCAGTGTCTCTGACTTGTCTCTCTGCTCAGGTGTGTACGCAGGTATAAAGTTCTTCATCATCGACTTCCTCTTCAAGAGCTGTCCGAAGCTGAGGCAGCGCTTCGACACGCCGTTCATCATCTGGACCCACCTGCCCACCGACCTGCAGCTGAAGGAGCGCGGCGGCTCCACGCTCACCAGGAGGGTCAGTACACACTCTGAAATATCCAGAAAATACCAGGACAATATCCAGAAAATACCTAAAAAATATATACACAGAATACCTCAAAGACATCCACAAAATGTACAGAAAAAAACAAAATTAGAATAAGAAATATCCAGAAAACATCAGTTGCAACATTAAAGTGATGCACTTAAATGCATCAATTATAATAAAACAGTAATTCATTGTAATACTTGAGAATGTTTTTTGATTTCAGGACTTTCACTTAATTACTTGTAATATTACTACTTCTATTGAAGTAAAGCAATGCTCCCTCCTCCTCTGGTTCTTACTGGTCCCAGCAGCTGGTTCCTGGTGTTCCTGGTTGTTCAGTTTGCATTTGTTCTTCTCTCACAGCTGTCTGAGTCTGAACAGGTAGGATCGTTGTGTGTGTGTGTGTGTGTGTGTGTGTGTGTGTGTGTGTGTGTGTGTGTGTGTGTGTGTGTGTGTGTGTGTGTGTGTGTGTGTGTGTGTGTGTGTGTGTGTGTGTGTGTGTGTGTGTGTGTGTGTGTGGAGATCAGCAGTGTTTATTGTAGTTAGATAAGTAGTGATAATACTGCCCCCCCTGTCAGCTGCTGGTAGTGTTTGTGACGGTGTTAGTTTGAGTTATCATAAACCTATACGTGAAATGTTGCCTCTTTTACTCAATTTCTTTCAGGTTTGTAATAAAGGTAAAACTTCTACACATTGATGATCAGCAGAATTGTTCTTCTTGATATTTTAATGTCCCCTTTCCTCTGGCGCCATCCTCAGGTCACTCTCAGATCCTACCAAATGTTCATGTTTCCAAACTAATGTTAAAAGGTTTGAATCAACATCTTTTTTAGTTTTTAGGGACAATTTTCGGTCAGGTAAACAAATACTGAAGTTGGTTCTTCTCCTCTTCACCACCAACGTTACATTTTGTGTAAGACTCTAAAAATCCTTAAGTCTTCAGGACATAGTCGAGATTTCAGCCACAAAGGAAGGTGATCATTGGCTCGGATCTTGTGAAGAGCTGTGAACACATCTGAGTTGTCCGGGTTAAAGGTTGGATTACAATTATACTAAACTCAGCATAACTGGGAATAGTCTTTCATGGTAAAAAAGCACTATTTTCATCAATCTGCTCTGGAAAAGATACTCTGTGAAACGAACACAGCTGTCAAATCCATGATAATGCATCCATTGGTTGGAACAACAATAGACTCGTCTCACAGTGATGTTCAGGACGTTCCCACAGATCCTCTCTGCTACTGAATGTTAAAGCTAGTATCCCCCCCCCCCTCCAGGTCACGTTATCCAGCGGGCGGGGCAGCGTCGGCCCGGCGGCTCCTCTCGGTGCGAGCCGGGATGAAGACGGAGGGCGATACAGCAGCACCAAGAGAGGAGCTTTCCACGAGGTGTTCAACCTGCAGGAGAGCGAGCGCCCCCTGACAGGTGGGCAGGAACTCTAGATATGTGTTTGTTGCTTTTGTTTATTGGTATTTGTTGTGTTTGTTTATTTGAATTAAAGTAGAAAACAAGTCTTTCATCTAAAACAACCTTTCTTTACTGGACCGTAGCTAAGAATTTAGCAAAATCAATTCTCCCAACAAAGTGTTTATTCAGATGAATGTTAAATTATCAGAATGAGAATCAGAATACCTTTATTAGTCCCACAGAGCGGACATTTACATTTGTTACCGCAGAAAATAACCAAAGACAGCTTAATGTTACCTAAGAAGCATAAGAACAAATATTAAAGACAAAACATAATTAAAATAATTACACAATTTACAAAATACACATCCTGTAACAGTTCTGAAGATATAGCAGCTAGGTATATATCGCACAGGTATTAACGGCGATTACTAGTTCCATCTTCAACAGGTAGGTCTAACTGCTTCACAGTGACATACATTAACCTCTAATGAGAAATACTAATGTCTTTATACATGTGTGACCCTTAAAAGTACATTGAGTCTTCAAGCACTGGACACGCCCTCATTCCCACAAGACGCTGCCTGACCCTCCTGCATGTAGTGATGTTTGACTCTTTGTGTGTCAGTGTGTGAGAGCGGCTGGCGCTGCTGCCTCATCAACAGAGACAGGAAGTCGCCCACTGACTACATCCGCAACGGATACCTCTACGTCACCGAGAAGTAAGTCCCTCACTTCCTGTTCACATTGATTATTGTTCCCGCACAATGTTTTCAGACGGAACACAGATGAGGAGGGAGACTGAAATACTTAAAGTTTTGAGATCAAGCTGAGGCCGTAGTATTTATAGAAGATCAGAACAAATTGTCAAATTTCTCCAAACTTTACTCTCCGTACAAAACATTTTAAATACACAAGTGCAGAATAAACACTGTGAAACGTGTAAAACTGGATCCGTGTTTGTTCCTCTGTTTTCAGTCATCTGTGTTTTGAGAGCTCCAGCTCCAGATCTGGATCCTCCAAGAGGAACAAAGTCATCAAACTGGCCGACATCACCGACATCCAGAAGGTTTGTTCTGACAAAATGTTGCGTAGGGCCCCAATTTGGCCAGGGCGCCAGTCTCAGGACACCTCCACTCTGAGGACACCTCCACTCTGAGGACACCTCCACTCTGAGCACACCTCCACTCTGAGCACACCTCCACTCTCAGGACACCTCCACTCTGAGGACACCTCCACTCTGAGGACACCTACACTCTGAGGACACCTCCACTCTGAGCACACCTCCACTCTGAGGACACCTCCACTCTGAGGACACCTCCACTCTGAGGACACCTACACTCTGAGGACACCTCCACTCTGAGGACACCTCCACTCTGAGGACACCTCCACTCTGAGGACAAAATAAAATCGCACTGACACTTATTATATATATAAATAACAACATCTTATATTTTAGTTACACACGCTAGACAACAGTGGAGGGTTCGAGAAACAACCGTGTTTGCAGAGTGCAGCGCGACGGAGGTGGGGAGGTTCCATGGTGAGCGGACTCATCACAAGTCTCCATTGTGATTTGAAAACTTCCATCAGACGGAACTGTCCTGAGAGTGGAGCCTGCAGGCAGACCCCTCTCGCCTTCGGCATACAAATATAAAAGGAAATAAGTTAGAACAATATTAAATATTGTTAAAAAAAGAGTGAAAATCTTTGGTGTTTATAGTGACAAAACATTGAAATACATCATCTTGGACTTTGAGGAACCGGGATGAAAATGTTTCACTATTTACTAACATTTTAAATCAAGTATTCTATACTGATATTTAAAAGTCAATCAGAGTATGTTTCTGTTGTTGTTTTGTTTTTAAATTAGTTTTAAAAAAACGTTTGTGTTGCTTTTTTCTCTTCTCAGTACAAAGTGTTGTCCGTGCTGCCGGGGTCAGGGAGCGGCATCTCCATCGCAACGCCGTCCACAACAAAGGTACGAGAAGACAGGGCGCTATGATCTGATGCAATGTGGAAGTTAATGAGTTAAATTAAGATATAAAACAAAGCGTGCAAATAACAAGAGAGCCTGGAATGGATTTCTACGGTGTAAAAATACTGTTACAAGTTAAAGGGGCCCTATTATACTAATGTTCAGGTGTCTCTACTTAAAAGAGTCCTCTCCTGCTGATGTTCAGGTGTATATCAGTATGTAGTGTCTCTACTTTAAAGAGTCCTCTCCTGCTGATGTTCAGGTGTATATCAGTATGTAGTGTCTCTACTTTAAAGAGTCCTCTCCTGCTGATGTTCAGGTGTATATCAGTATGTAGTGTCTCTACTTTAAAGAGTCCTCTCCTGCTGATGTTCAGGTGTATATCAGTATGTAGTGTCTCTACTTTAAAGAGTCCTCTCCTGCTGATGTTCAGGTGTATATCAGTATGTAGTGTCTCTACTTTAAAGAGTCCTCTCCTGCTGATGTTCAGGTGTATATCAGTATGTAGTGTCTCTACTTTAAAGAGTCCTCTCCTGCTGATGTTCAGGTGTATATCAGTATGTAGTGTCTCTACTTTAAAGAGTCCTCTCCTGCTGATGTTCAGGTGTATACCAGTATGTAGTGTCTCTACTTTAAAGAGTCTTCTCCTGCTGATGTTCAGGTGTATATCAGTATATAGTGTCTCTACTTTAAAGAGTCCTCTCCTGCTGATGTTCAGGTGTATATCAGTATGTAGTGTCTCTACTTTAAAGAGTCCTCTCCTGCTGATGTTCAGGTGTATATCAGTATGAAGTGTATCTACTTTAAAGAGTCCTCTCACATCATACAATGTGTCGGAGCACTAGCCAATAGAAGCGCGAGTGTTACATAGTGATGTCTTGTTGCACACCTTTCTGGGGTCTTTCCCTTGGGTTAGGGTTCAATCCCTGTGCTCCCTCCAGTTATATTGTATAAATACATTTAATTGATAGATTACATGTTAAGTAAAGTATTAGTATCTGAATTGAACTCACTTCCTGTCTTGTTGCAGCCGATGGTGTTCGGCGCGATGATCCACAGAGACGAGGCCTTCGACGCCATCTTTAACCAGCACACGAAAATCGTTTCCGCGGCAACAGCCATCGAACCGGAGACGTAGTAACACCTTCACCAGGCTGCCACACACACACACACACACACACACACACACACACACACACACACACACACACACACACACACACACACACACACACACACACACACACACACACACACACACACACACACACACACACACACACACACTGGGACTGTCATACTGTTAATTAACCAGTTTTTAAATAATCCGGTGACGTTAAATCGCAGTTTTTTTTGTCACCAATGACTTCTTAAACAAGTTCCCACAAAACAGGAAACAATAAGGTACATTTTTAGAGCTAATTAATTGATAAATCCTCAAATATGTCCGGTATTTATCTCTGGAATAATGTCCTGCATATTAATAAATATTGTCCAGAAGGCGTAAGGATATCGAGGCGAGTTCTCCCTTGATAAATTAAATATGAATTACATTTCCTTCAAACAGTCATGTCTTAATCACCGCGTTTAATACGGCTGTACCATAGATACAGCACATTCACACTGCGGTACTTTTCCCACAAAGGTTCATGTGAACTTAGTTCATGTGAACTCTTTAGTTCTCATGAACTAAGTACAGATCGCGTTCACACTGGAAAAAGTCCCTGGGGGAGGATTAGGCAAATGAAGCTGCTGACGTCACTTCTTCTTCTTCTGCTTTGGGTTTACTGGCAGGCCCGTCACTTGTTCTTCTTCTGCTTTGGGCTTACTGGCAGGCCGCAAACAACTTCACGGCGTATACTGCCGCCCAAAGTCCCCGGCCGGAAGTCCCCGGAGTTGGGGAAGGCTTCAGTAGAAGCTGCTGAGAGTCCCAGCAGCTTCTACTGAAGCCTTCCGAGTAAATCGCCAGAACGCCGACACCTCCTCATCTCCACCGCTCCCATGTTTTATTTTGTGTTGCCATAAGTTAGTCTCTCTGCGTTTCTGCGCTGGGCTAATGCTAATAATGCTAATGCGAGGATAATAAAATGGCGGCTTCACAAAACTTGTTGGGAGTTTTACGGGGCGTGGTTTGCAATCCGCCCAGCCAATCAGAAATAGGAACCTTTTTCTCCCACGAAAGTACCTGCTCTCTAGCAGGGACTGAAAAGGGGGTAAAAAGGTTCTCTAGAACTAATTTTAGTTCCGGCTCTTTTTGGTGTCAACGCAACATTTCGGAACTATATCGGAACTAAAGTGGGAAAAGTACTGCGGTGTGAACGCGCCTTCTGGGCTGAACCCAACATTTTGAATCTACATCCATTATGTTGACATTTCTAATGTAAATCAAAATGAATGCTGCACAATAATTTGTAATAGTTTTTAAAAAATCGTTTGAATTATATATGGATTTTCTTGGTAATGAATGACTTTTGACGGTAAAAAAAAAGAGTTACTGGTACTTATGACCAATTTTGAGTAAAGAATCTCTCAAAAATGTAACTTTTAAAATAAATATTCACTTACGAGGATAAAATGTAAAGAATAGAAGGAAATTGGCAAATTTGAAATTTAGAAACAAATTATTTCTGAAATGTTTGCATGAAAAGTTTCTTAAAATGATTAATGTATTATCAGAAAATGATTACTAGCCATTGATGCAATAAATCATGGTACGAAAAAGGACTTTATGTCCCTCTTTGAGTTAAAGATCTCAAACTTAACTTTAAACATAAATATTCCCTTTAGTATGATTCAAAAAGCAAAGGATAGTAGGAAATCACCATCTTTGAGACTAAAAACAGCATTATTCCTGAAATGTTTGCACTTTAAATGGTTTATATATAATCCATAAAAGTTGGCTTTAAATATTTCTTGTTATTTGGTCGTTACAGTTCAGTACTTGGTACAAAAAATAACATTTTGACCCGCTTTGAGTTGTGAAAATCACCTTTTTGTTCTAATGAGCCGTTTAAAACCCTAAAATCGGACTTATTTCCTTTAGTGTCTTTACACTACATCATGAATATTATACTTGAACATCTTCACAATGTGTTAGTGCTGAAATATGAACATATTACATGTTCTGGTATTAATGAGAAATGTTTTTACTCTCCGTGTTTGAACCACTTTACATCATATCTTCAGGGATTTATAACGTTATGTAACTCTGTGTTGTACTAAGCCTTACAGCCAGTTTGTATTATAGTATGTTGGGTTTTTAATGTGGTGGCGGACACTGTTTGTTTCTATATGAATGTGCTGAAAGACTTAATGAAACCACAACATCGACCGCAGGGGGGCTTTTATTTTTTTTAAATATAACATTTCTGTCCATTTCTTTGAACTTCATCTCCTAGCTTGATGCTAATCGACAAGCTAACCGATTGAAATGTTGACCTGGGCCGCTTTTCTTTTTTATCACAGTTAATATATATTTTACTTTAGCTGAGAGATAAATTAAGAGGCTTAAATAAATGTATGTTGTAATGTAAACAATAAGGGGATTGTTAGCTTTAGCCTCTTTAACACTAGCTAATCGGCTAAACAACTGGAACTGACCTAAAACCTTTTTTAAATCACAGTCAAGTTATATTTTACTATAGCTAGGATGTTCAAAAGAAGCTAAAACATATTAATATTAACATATCTATAAATATTCAAGGTTTTTTCTGATCTGATTAACTTTAGCTTCTCCAGTCCGAGCTAATTGGCTAAAGCTAAACAAGTTAAAACACAAAGTCGTAGTTCAGCTTTTCTTTTTTGGCTCAATTTCCTAGTTTATTTTGACAACATTCTTATTCCCATCAACATGTAGCCCATGTTTATTTTTACTCTAACACTAGTAAGGCTTCTTAAATTATATATTTTTGCAGCTTGATTAAGTGTCTGTTACCCAGCTAATTCAGGTATGTTTAAATCATGTCTGTATTTTGTATTTTCAGTCTGAAAGCTTTTAATCCAGCGTTTAATCATTTTATTTGACGTTAAATTCCCTTTATTTCAATGAGAAAGTTGCACATTTGACAGAAAAACAAACTGCAGAATAAGTAGGGATATCCTCTTTAAAATAATTACAAGTATAATTACTGAACACCAATATTTGTTTCTAAGTTGGGCTCAAAACTCAGACTTAGTAACATTATTTATCAGTTTGTTTTCTAATAAATACTCAGTTTCAATAGGTATTTTTATTGGTCCAGTTAAGCTCTTTCTTTGCCAAATGGAATTCCTTTAAAAAAAAAAAAAGGTTTGATTGTCTAAACTTTGATTAAATTCTTCCCCGGTTTATTTTGTGGTTTCTCGGGTTCTGCTTTCGTCTCGTTTACGTGAACGTTGTGAACCTTTCTGTCGGCTGCTGTCTTTCAGATACAATGGTTTTATAAACTGGTGTCGTTGTATACATAGGTGTACGTTTTTTAAATGAAATGATTGCTCTTCTTAAATTGTAATGTACATTTTTTTTAAAAGTAAAATCAAAACACTGACAGTCTCCTGTTTTTAATTGTTGCTCTGCGCAGTACCACGTTCAGCCTGTTGGTGTCAGTAGAGAGTCGGAGGAGACTATGAAACACAAACAGTACATTCATAAACACTCTCATTATTTGAGATGACTTTAAACATGCGTTAGAATTGGACCTCAGGAATTAAAAATAACTTATTATTATTTGAATGTTTCATTTTGTTTATTATTTAAATTATTTTTATTTAAAATGTAAAATATATATCATTTGAAGAAATGGTTCTATATATTTATGAAAAACAAAAAGCAAAAATGCCTCGCAGACGCTCTTCCGTTTACTTTTTTAATAAATAAAAACAAATGGTCCGAAGATACACGGATTCATCTCCCTCCATCATGTTGATTTGAATCTGAAATTCTGAACATGAGCCCGCCCCGCTCGACCTTCTGAGCCAATCAAAGCACGATAATGTTTCCGTTTCAACTATACTTTCTCTCACACATGCATGCATTCTTCTCTTGCATATTGTCTTCAGACATGCATATACTGTTTATAATATTAAATGTAAACATTGAATGAATGTACATAAGAGCAAAATGTATAAATATATATATATATAAATGAGCGTTAAAATATATGAATATGAGAGCTAAATGTATATATGTGTGCGTTGAAATATATGTGTATGAAAATGAAAATGTATGAACGTATGTAAAAGGAGAATGTATGTGTGAAAGAGGACCAGTATGAATTACGGCCTGTACGGCCCTTCATATGAAACACTACTTCCACTATAATTCAATGAACACACATTGAAATATAACCTGGCCTTTGACCTCATTCACACAGTACAACTGAGGTATTCTTAGACAGATATCTATGTGTTGGGACGTACTATGAGATTGCACATTTGTTCACTGTCTCATAGCATATTTTAGTTTACTCAGTGCAGACAGGTTGTCTTGAATCTTGCAGACACTGCCCTTATTTTAACCTCTTAGTCCTTGAGCCAACTCCCTATTAGAGAACGTGCTATTCAAGCATTGTGTCGCTAACAGGTGAAGGTACGTCACCATTGGTTGACAGTTTTGAAAGGTTAGGATATTTTGATTCCTTACTATGTTATCATTAAATAATGCCAGATTAAATTAGAATCTAATACAAAAAGTGGTCATATGAATTAGTTACTATTTTTTTAACTTAATTACTGTGTCGCTAACAGGTGAAGGTACGTCACCATTGAGGCGAGACACTGTTGTTGTAAAACATTATTCACCATCCACCTCTTTAAAAATAATGACATTTCATTTCAAATGATAAGCTCCATCTTATAAACAGGGCATTAATAAAATAGACTTTACAAGCATATTTAATGCAATTTTGTTATTTAAAAAACCCTTTATTTATCTCCCAGTCAGACAGGACGTTTGCAGTGAGTTAGTCTCACCTGTACAGGCAGTGTTGGAGTGTGTTCAAGGTGAAGAATGAGATCATAATCATTAGAAGCAGTCCAACCAGTCAGACCGCTCACACTGACACAGGCTGCAGCCATCAGACACTTAGATTAGCATATATATATTAGGAAAAGGGGAGAAATAGTTAGCCAGGCTTTTTCAAAAAAATTACAAAATACACATTTAAGTGTACTTAATATATCTCTGTACAAAAACTGAAATGTGTAAACAATTTGGCAACTTGTTTTGGTCCCGTTCAAGAAATAGCCCGACCCTGTTA